ATTCAAGCCTTTTGTAATGTGACTGACAAAAAGGAGGTTATTGGTAAATTTTGGGACATAAAGGACGGAGGATAAGGGAAGATTAGGAGGGGCAGAATCAGTGCCCTTCCCCACAATGGAGGTGAAGGTGCCATCAGCCACTCTAACCTTATCCTTACCGTAACATAAAATGTACGAAGAAAAATCAGATGACATACCAGTCATGTGATCAGTGGCTTCTGAATCAATGATCCAGGGTGGTCCACCAGATAATGTGAAAACCTGATGTGCCGAATGAGAGGTACCTGTCTGAGCGAAGTTAGAGGTGGAAACGAAAGAATGTTGTGCTAGTAGATGTTGGAGAGCATCAAGTTCAACCCCAGACAAAGAACTCAGTGCCCTAAGGAGGCATGACCAGTAGAAGCAGTCTCACGCTTTGCAGTATGTGCCGTAGATAACCCCCTAAATGGACCAGGGCTTAGCCTAGCATTCGCATTAGCAGGAGCTAGAGTAGGGTGACTCTGTAAATTCCAGCATGTTTCCCTAGTGTGGCGCGTACGACCACAGTGATCATACCTCAACTTGATTTTATCATCCTGTTTCCCTCCTTTTGGAGGATTGGGCTTGTTCCATTGTTGTGTGGCAAGAGCAAACCTCTCAGACAATGGTACTTCTAGCTCAGGCTTAGTGTATACAGGTGCTGGCATAGCCTTCATTCTACTCTTCTCGGCCTAGATATATGAAAACAGATCTCTAACAGAAGTAGGGGCTGGATACCTACCTAACACTTGTAGCCTGACATGCTCGTATCTCGGATACAGGCCACACAAGAACTCATAGATTCGATTTAACATCAGCTGCACACACCGGTATATAGTCTTAGTAGTGATCTAACTCTTCCTATTTACCACGTAAAGTGTGGTAATATGTAGCAAGAGTTTGGTCTTCCTGCCTGAATCTGGAAATCTGTTGTTGGAGTTCATATAGTTTTGCAAAATTACCATCCGAGGAATACGTCGCTTCCACAACCGTCCATAGCTCTTAAATGTTTTCACAAACAAAAACCCTTTGCTGATATGTGGTTGCATTGACTGCAACAACCACGTCATAACTAGTGCATTATTTGCACTCCACTCTTTGAATTTAGGATCGCTATTGGAGGGATACGTGACAATCCCTTCGATATGATCAATCATCCTACGACCAGTGATATGCATACGAGCAGATTGAGCCCACAGTCGTAATACGAAGGCCTGAATGACAATCACTACTAACTCCCAATATTGGAGTTAAACTAGGAGAAGTACCAGCTTCTTTTGAAGTCACCTTTGAGCCAGACATTTTGTCAAACAGTTTCTGGGTATACAATCCTCAAAAACAAAAATAACAACAAAATATGTAGAAAACTACCTCTCTAACACACAAACTTCAACTAAAAAGATTACCGTCTTTTGAGATGCATAAAAAAGCAACCACAGTCACCACACAAACCCTAGAAAGTAACAAAGTAGACTATACCAGAATCGCAAACGACAAAGAAAAAGCCGTTGTTGCAGAACCCCGCAAACACAAAAAATCACCGAACGAGACTGCAATAGATAAAAGAACATGTCCAAAAAAAAAAAAATTCCCGGGGAACCCCGAGAAGGGCCGCACTGCTCGTGCAACCTCCAGCCAACTCACCACGGAGTTGGATCTGCGGTACGTGTGGATGTGATTAACACTACTTCCTTGCAAACAAATCCCATCTTGGAATCTCTTCAAAACCCTTCACACCCCCTAGGGTTTACACAAACTTGCCCTAGGGTTTCAACTACAAACCTAGAGCTTTACAAACTATGCTCTGATGCTATGTTGAGTTTAAGATATAATCAAATCAAAGAGTAAGTGATAAAGAAGAAGAAAAAGAGAAGAAAGTGGATGAGAGATAAAGAGAGAGAGATGGGGAAAGAGAGAAAGAATGAAAGAATACTTTCATCCTTCGACCACATTCTATTTATAATGACAAGTTTCTGAAATTACACATAAGCCCCAACATTATATAAGTAATAACAAATAAGCTCCTGACAACAGAAATTACAAGGCTTTATATAGAATTTCTTCCTCCCTAATCCTAGCCTTATATTAGCTAACTACCAAAGAAAGCTGCTAAAAATGACTCGAAATAAAGTTGATGAAACTAAGAAAACTACTCAAAATAAGGAAACTTTCAAAATATGGAAAGTTTATGAAAAACACAAATTCTCTTGCAAAAGTTTGAAATTCTGCCTACATCAGTCTCCTCGTGTTGGAAAATACTCGCCCTCGAGTTTGGAGCAATTTTCCACAATCAATCAAAAATCCAAGCATGGCTTTCCATCCATTCTTTCTTCTTTTCCGAACTCGAATCAAATACGTTAATCTTCTTATACTAACAAAGAATACAGATGTAGAACAAACATAAATTTTGTTAAATGTCCTTTAAAATTGGGTAGGTTCGCAAAACTTGGTATCTTGAACTAGAAGTTTAATCAACTTTAATTTTTCATCCAACAACCGCTAAGTAGTTGTATTGCGCTCCAAGAATTCATCCCAAACTATATCATAAAAGTAAAATCCATTGTTTTTCATCTGGCATGGATCCAAAATCTTCATTATCAACCACGCATACTTCATCTTGAGATCCTTCTTTTGTAGCTTTCTAGAGCTTTACAAACCATGTTCTGATACCATGTTGACTTTAAGCGAAAATCAAATCAAGAGTAAAATTATAAGAAGTAGAAGAATAGAAGAAAGAGGATGAGAGAAAAAGAGAGAGAGAGATGGGGAAAGAGAGAAAGAATGAAAGAATACTTTCATCCTTCCACCACATTCTATTTATAATAACAAGTTTCAGAAGTTACACATAAGCCCCAACAAGTAATAACAAATAAGCTCCTGACAACAGAAATTACAAGGCTTTATATAGAATTTCTTCCTTCCCAATCCTAGCCTTATATTAGCTAACGACCGAATGTAAAATAAAACCAAAACAGGAAAACTGCTGAAAATTACTCAAAAAGGAAAGTTGATGAAAATAAGAAAACTACTCAAAATAAGGGAACTTTCAAAATATGGAAGGTTTCTGAAAAACACAAATTCCCTTGCAGAAACTGAAATTCTGCCTACCTCTCTGCCACTTAAAATGTATTGTATAGGATTCATACAAGCTCATAACTCCATGTGGCTTGGGGGCATTTGAGCAGACCAAGGCGGGGCTAAACAGTCAACATCATTACCAGAAAGAATGACCATCGAGCTCTTTGTTACGACAATGAGAGACAGAAGACTTTGACAACTCTGATGAGGAAAACAAGCATTTCGTCCTTAGATCGGCCACCAGGCTTTCTGTTGAAAAAGAGATATTCGGTTTTAATAAGACCAGATTTTAGGGGATATGATAGGCGTGTAAATATAGATAGTCAATGACTAAGATTAGGAAATTCTGTTAGTGTACAGCCTGTAGTTTCTTGTTATAGCCTGTAGTTTCCTTTTTTTAGCTCTTTGTATTTCCTATTTAACTAAAGCATTGTAAACCATTCTTTGTACGGCAATATGCAGATTCTTTTCAGTCTTGAAATTGCATATTTGGTATCAAAGTATCTTATAGATTCTTCTGGAAAAAAAACCCCTAGCCATCTCTGTTTTTTTTCTCTTCCAAACAACCCTAATCACCATGTCTGATGACGTACCTGAGTCCAAGACCAAGACCTCTGAGTCCTAAGTCCAAAACTCTCAGACACACTCGGTCCAGATTACCACAATTCGGCTGAACAGTGAAAACTTCATTCGTTGGTCCCAGTCCGTGCGGATGTACATCCGAGGCAGAGGCAAAATCGGCTACCTGACGGGAGAAAAGAAGGAACCGAAACCTGAAGATCCATCCTACTCGACCTGGGATGCAGAGAATTCGATGGTGATGACCTAGTTGGTGAATTCTATGGAGGAGGACATCAGTTCTAATTATATGTGTTACCACACAGCAAAAGAACTCTAGGACAATGTCAACCAGATGTATTCAGACCTGGGAAATCAGTCTCAAGTCTATGAACTAATGCTGAAACTCGGAGAGATCTGTCAAGGAGATAACAGTGTTACAAAATATTTCAACTATCTAAAACGTTTGTGGCAGGACCTTGATTTGTTCAGCGATTATGAGTGGAAATCACCTGAATATTGCAACCATTACAAAAAGAAGGTGGAAGACAACCACATCTTCAAGTTTCTCATTGGACTCAATGTCGAGCTTGATGAAGTGAGAGGCAGAATAATTGGACGACAGCCCCTTCCTTTAATCGGTGAAGTCTTCTCCGAGGTACGAAGAGAGGAAAGTCGCAGGCTGGTCATGCTTGGAAAAAAATGGTGCTGTTGAGACCTCTGCCCTGGTCGCATCTGAAGCGAATATTGGCAGGAAACATTATGAAAAACCCTATCTTTGGTGTGACCACTGCAACAAGCCTCGCCATACCCGTGAAACCTGTTGGAAAATTCATGGTAAACCAGCGAATTGGAAGAGTAAGCAGGAAGGCAGATTCAACCAGGAAAGCAGATTCAACCGAGCCCCATCAGCTCATGAAGCTGAGGCACTTCCCTTCAGCAAAGAACAGATGGATCATCTTCTAAAATTGCTGAAATTCAATTCCTCATCTGGTACTCCTAATGCTTCTCTTGCTCAAACAGGTAACAACCCGAAGGCCTTATCTTGTCATTCAAATTCCAGTGTTACCCCATGGATCATTGATTCAGGGGCTTCTGAACATATGACAAGTTTTTCTCATTTATTTCAAACTTATTCACCCTATTCTGGCTCTAAAAAAATCAGAATAGCCGATGGTTCTTATTCTCCTATTGCAAGCAAAGGTTTGGTAAAACTTTCAAAAATTATTGATCTTAAGTTTGTCCTTTATGTCCCTAAGCTTGCTTGTAACCTTTTATCGATTAGTAAATTGTCCAAAGACTCTAATTGTCGTGTTATCTTTTTTGAATCCTATTGTGAATTTCAGGACCAGAGCTTGGGGAAGACGATTGGCAGTGCTAAGATGATAGATGGTCTCTACTATTTTGAAGATGATATTTCAAGTAATAAAAAGGCTCAAGGTTTGAGTAGTTTTTGTTTTATCTCTGTTAGAGAACAAATAATGCTATGGCATTTTAGACTAGGGCATCCTAGTTTCCCTTATCTTAAAAATTTATTTCCTACTTTGTTTAAAGGATTAGATTGTTCATCTTTTTATTGTGAGAATTGTTTTTTTTATCAAAGAGTCATCGTACTACGTATTCTCCCAAACCTTACCAGACATCAAAACCATTTATTTAATCCATAGTGATATTTGGGGCCCTTCTAGGATCACAACTCTTTCTAGAAAAAAATGGGTTGTGACTTTTATTGATGATCGTATACGTTTGTGTTGGGTGTATTTAATGAATGAAAAATCTGAGATTGAAAAATTATTCAAAGATTTTTATATGATGATTGAAAATCAATTTCAAACAAAAAGTGGCATTCTTCATACTGATAACAGCACCGAATACTTTCATGAAGTTTTAGGAAGTTTTTTAACAGACAAAAGGAATTTTTCACCAATCCACTTGTGTTGACACGCCCCAACAAAACGGAATTGCTGAAAGAAAGAATAAACATTTACTTGAAGTTTCTCGTGCCATCATGTTTTCAATGAATGTTCCTAAGTATTTGTGGGGTGAAGACAGCAACATATTTGATTAACAGGATGCCTACTCGTGTTCTTAACTATTTTACGCCCCTTGAAAGCCTTAAAAAATCTTTTCCTGAAACTCGGATTTATTCCAACCTGCCTTTGAAAGTATTTAGGTGCATTGTCTTTGTCCATTTACCTAGTAGACTTCGGTCTAAATTGGATCCTCGGGCTGAAAAATGTGTATTTGTTGGGTATGCTCCGAATAAAAAGGGGTACAAATGCTTCAATCCGAAAATAAAAAAAATGTTTGTCAGTATGGATGTCTTTTTTCTAGAAAATCATCCTTATTTTTAGAAAACTTTTCTTCAGGGGGAGAAAGAGAGTGAAGAAAATTTTTAGGAGATTTCTACTAATATTCCCTTACCTAAAACTATTGTCTCACACTCTATTACTCCGAACACTGATATTTTTAAACAGGGAAATGATGTTCTAGAATCAGGAAACCCAGGGCCTCCTAGTCCTAATCTGCCGAGCCTTACTGTATCTCCAACAGGGGGAGAAATCCTACCAACGGTTCCAAAAAAACCGAGTCCTGAGCTTCTGGTTTATAATAGGAAAAAGACTCATCAAAAGAGTAAAGAGCCTACTATTGTACTTGAGCAAGGCCAATCAGAGGTCCCGAGCAATGACTCCCTAAATACTCAAGGTACTCTAAATCCTAACTTGTCTGCAGTTGTCCCTACTATTTCTGATCGTACAGAGTCACCTAGCCAAGTTCCTTTAGACCTTGATATCCCTATAGCTGTTAGGAAAGGAATCCGAACCTATACCCAGCATCCCATTGCCAAATACTTGTCTTATGATAAACTTTCCCATAAACATAGGGTCTTTACTTCAAATATTTCTCACTTGTTTGTTCCAAGAAACATTCAGGAAGCACTAGATGATTCGAATTGGAAATCAGCAGTGTTAGAGGAAATGAATGCTCTTAAAAGGAGTGGAACGTGGGAGATAGTTGACTTGCCCAAAGGAAATAAAACTGTTGGGTGTAAATGGGTTTTCACTATTAAGTGTAAAGTTGATGGTAGTGTGGAAAGGTACAAGGCAAGACTTGTGGCGAAAGGTTTTACGCAAACGTACGGCATTGATTACCAAGAGACGTTTGCTCCTGTAGCAAAAATAAATTCTATCCAAGTCTTATTGTCGTTGGCAGTCAATTCTAACTGGCCATTACATCAGTTGGACATAAAAAATGCCTTTTTAAATGGAGACTTGGAAGAAGAAGTGTTTATAAGCTTGCCACTTGGGTTCAAAGGAAAACACCGTCAAAGCAAAGTCTATAAACTCAAAAAATCCCGGTACGGTTTGAAACAGTCTCCAAGAGCGTGGTTTGAACGCTTTGGAAAGGCTGTGAAGAGTCATGGGAATCATCAGAGTCAAGCAGACCATACCATGCTCTACAAACACGGTGCGGAAGGGAAAATTGCCGTTTTGTGTATGTGGATGATATAATTTTGACAGGTGATGACATTGAAGAGTTGACCAGACTGAAGAAGAAACTCGCTAAAGATTTTGAAGTCAATGATCTAGGAGCATTAAAATACTTCCTTGGAATGGAATTTGCTAGGTCAAGAGAAGGAATTTTCGTGAATCAACGAAAATATGTACTTGATTTGCTTAATGAGACAGGACTACTCGAGTGTAAAGCTGTTGACACTTTAATTGAAGTCAACCTGAAGTTAGAAGCTGCCGAACCTGAGAATATGGTTTATCGTGAAAGATATCAGAGATTGGTGGGAAGACTAATTTACTTATCTCACACACGCCCAGATATAGCATTTGCAGTTAGTATGGTGAGTCAGTTCATGCACTCTCCTGGACAAGAACACTTTGAAGCAGTGTACAGGATTCTGAGGTACTTAAAGGGCTCACCAGGTAAAGGACTTATGTTCAAGAAACAAGGTCATTTGCAAGTGGAGGTGTACACAGATGCTGATTAGGCAGGCAGTATAGTTGATAGACGATCTACCTCAGGATATTGCACCTTCGTTGGAGGAAACTTAGTCACGTGGCGAAGCAAGAAACAAAATGTAGTAGCGAGGAGTAGTGCAGAAGCCGAGTTCAGAGCACTCGCCCATGGGATTTGTGAAGCTATGTGGTTAAAAAGACTCCTTGAAGATTTGAAGGTTACTGTTTCTCCTCCAATGAGAGTCTACTGTGTGACAACGAGGCTGCCATTTCAATTGCTCATAATCCAGTCCTCCACAATAGAACCAAACATGTGGAAGTTGACAAACACTTTATCAAGGAAAAGCTTGACTGTGGTATGATTTGCATTCCTTATGTCTCTACTACTGAACAAGCTGCAGACATCCTTACCAAAGGGCTACACAAGAGATAGTTTGAAGTTTTAAGAAGCAAGCTAGCTATGGAAGACATCTACAAGCCAACTTGAGGGGGAGTGTTGAAAAAGAGATATTCGGTTTTAATAAGACCAGATTTTAGGGAATATGATAGGCGAGTAAATATAGATAGTCAATGACTAAGATTAGGAAATTCTGTTAGTGTACAGCCTGCAGTTACAGCCTGTAGTCACAGCCTGTAGTTTCCTGTTACAGCCTCTAGTTTCCTTTTTTTAGCTCCTTATATTTCCTATTTAACTAAAGCATTGTAAACCATTCTTTGTACGGCAATATACAGATTCTTTTCAATCTTGAAATCACCTATTCTTTCCTCTAGGCAACTATTTCTTCTCATTCATGTCAAGAGAGTTCGACTAGATCGGCTTTGAATTCTTCATCTAAAGGCCTAAAAGCTTACTGATGAAGCTCGACCAACCATTGAGAATTGTGGGCGTTACTTTTTTGAAAGTGTTTTGGAGCAAAAACATGAACTTTTGTTGTTTGCTTTTGATGTCAAGAAAACACTTTTGGCGATCTACAAATGTTGCACAAAATCTAAAAAGAAAAAGAAAAAAAAGAACAGAATAAAAATTAATTATAATAAAAAGAATTATTGTGCAATACAATCAACCACCAAGTAGATTTTCACTAGACATGAAAATCTGCATAAGCACCAAGCATGCAATAAAAGGATTGAGTGGTTGCAAAGGAATGTTTTTTTTAGGGGAACCGGAATTTAGTTCAAATACCACTTGGTGAATTGGAATATATGTTACTAAATGAGATGAGACCATTCGAGGGTGTCTCCTTCCTGGGGGCGGCAAGAGTCCCTCTCTTGCCCACTGCCAGTGATACTAAGAGAGTTTCGTCGGGGAGAGGGCTTACTTTCAGTGTGGATGGTTGGAGCATTGGATGGAGATGTTAAGTGCTACCTTCTTGTTTGGTTGTGTGCTTTGACAGAGCCTTAGGTTGTGTAGACAAGATTCCAGCGTGGGCATCCAAGGTTTGGAAGGTGACATATGGGGTAGAGGTTACTCCATTACCGGATTCACTACTACCGTTTGAGTTCCCGTCACAGAAAGAAGTAGAGAGAGTACTAAATGAGGGAAGAAGGGAATGGGGTGAGGCGTCGGTGTTGATGGATTTATGGTCTTTCCAGATGGAATGCTCTGGGCTTCTGAAGATGAAGGAAAGGTGCATACTGGTTATGTTCTCCCTCTGCACTTGTGGTGCAACTCATTGTTGTGGCAATAAGGGAGGAGTGTTGGGGATTCAAGGGTGTGGGCAAAGCTAATAATCGTGGTGAAACATGGAGGGCACATTCCGGAATACGTGATAGTGGAAGATGACTGGATGAGCTACTGATTGGCTTTAATGGAGGAAATTACACCGTAGTTATTCTCAACTATGGATTCAATGATCCGAAGGGATGGGATTGCCTTAATATATGAGGAAGAATATTGGAAAAGGAAAGAAGAATTGAAAGAATGAAAGTTAGAGGGAAGGGACTGGCTCTAGAGTTACATGACCGTTGGAAAATGGGTGGTAGATGACGACAGAAGGAGCACGTGCCTGGGGTGTGTGATAAAGGATAGGTGAAAATGGAGATATGTGGTGTTGCATACTCCAATGAAATAGTCAAATGGGGGACAATTGGGGGTTTAGGTGTCATCCAGGGAGTGGAGGGTGGGTATGGCAGGTCAAGTGACCCTACTTGAGATATTTCAAATTTTGGTAGAATGGGCAATATAAGGTTCTGGTGAATGATGGGCCTTTGGCTATGGGCCCGCAGCAAGTAAAGAGGGTAGGCTTGGAGTAGTGTTGTCTAAAGCTAAACGGGCCAAGTCTTTTAGGCCCAAAAGCATATAATGAACCAGAAAGGGAGGGGACTAAATACAATCAAGCGATGGTGGGCCATGGGTGTATTGGGCCAACTGTTACTAGAAAGAAAAAAGTGACCCATCCTCAAGCAGGCCAGAATCAATAGAAGGACAAAGGGTTGGTGGCTTCGTTTAGAAGAAGGAAGGTCTAGTATAGGGCGAGAGCATGTAATATCTTGAGTTTCATTAAGTTCTTTATTGGTTCTTATGAGTTTTATGGTGCCTATTTTCACACGGGGGTTTTAACTATTAAATAGTTAATATGGTGAAGGATGAAATTTCAAAGAATTGAGGAATTCAATAAATTTGAAAAATATGTTAGAATGTGTAGAAAGAATAAAATATGTAAGTTAAGGGACTTGGATTGAATATGAAATATATTTTAGTGGTGGTTAGATTGAAAATAAAGAAAATAGGTGGGTTGGAAAATATAATAGATAAATGAAGAAAATGTGGATAATTTTTATAGTGACAAGTGTCAATAGTCTGAAAACAAAAATGTGTCAAACAAATAAAAGAAATACACGACACATGTTGTTTGAGCGGATATTGGAAACAAAATGCTATGTGTATAGCTTCACCTAGAAGCCTTTTTTTTTTTTTTTTTTGATAAGTAGCTTCACCTAGAAGCCTTGGCCTAGCATATTAGTAAATATATAGAATGTAATACATATGATTTTGTGTTGCACACCTCATTATATAGGTGTCAACACAACAACCATTATGAACATGGAATCAATAATCCAAGATGACTCAGTACGACCAAAAGTGTTCAAGGCTAATCCAAAGCTACCTGTATTGGCTAAGTTACAGGAAGCCTCCTTTGAGGATAGCTTCTGAGCATACTCTTTCATCATTTGATCTACCTGGGCTTGAGAATATTGTGGCTGGGCTGCAAAAGAAGATTGTGCATCAGACTGCGCCTCAAAGGTTGTATGGGGTGCTCTAGAATTTGAGTTATCTCCCTTGTTTCCACCTTTCTTACGGAACCAGCCTGGATAACCTTTCAGCTTAAAACAAGTCTCTTGAGTATGTCCAGCCTTATTACAGTGTGTACAGAACAAACACACTTTGTTTTCTGGTTTCCTCGAGTGAGAGGTAACCAGTGCAGTTGGAGACTGCACAGTAGTCAAGTTGAACTCTCATGTGAGACACCTGTAAGCATGGTGGCCTGGCGGAGCTCCTCATGTCGAACATAGGCATATGCACCGCGAAGATTGGGAAGAGGATCATACCCTAAAACCTATACTTTGATCTGATCAAACCCTGGGTCGAGGCCGGCTAGGAAATCGTAGACCCTTTCATTCTCAATTCTCTTCTTTGGCTTTGTTGTATCCCCAACACACTCCATATCACTCCAGCTCCTGCCAAATGGCCTGCAAAGCAGAAAAATAGCTATCCAATGTCTTCCCCTGCTATTGAATCTCTTTTGCCCTGCGCCTCAGTTCATAAATCTGAGAAGCATCACTACCATCAAAATAGGTTTGAGCCACAACTTCCCAAATAGCATGAGCTAAGAAGCCATGACATCAACATGGCATTCTCTTCCAACCAAGTAGAGAAGGAAGGTTCAGTATCCGCACGTTGTTTCTTCTCTCCTGTCAAGTACCCCAACTTTCCTATTCCTGTGATGTACAACTTCACAAATTGGGACCAGGCAGAATAATTCGTCCCATCGAGTTTGTAAGAAGTCACCTGCACACTCATGTTATCAAGTTGATTTGTCACAGTCGAAGGAATGGGCGGTGATGTACTAGAATCAGAAGATTTAGAGGTAACAACAGACATGGTGTTTAGAATTGAGGCTTTAGGGTATTGTCCAAGACAATTGCACACCAAGAGACCAAGAATGGGAAAAACAAGGAGAATAGGTCAGCGGTAATCGCTCAGACCCGTGAAAATTTTCTCTCTTTCTCACACTTTCTCTGATACCATGTAGAAATATTAACATCTTGTACAAGTATATATAGGAATGAGGGAAAGCTATACATGGAAAAGAATAAAAAAATCTTCCTACAATCTGTTCCTAATTTGAAGCAATCAATCTATCATAATTTACTTCAATCAATCTGTCCTACAAACTTATTCTAATTGAAAGAGTCAGATATCAAACTAATCCCTAAAATCAAGGGCAAAAATATATCTTCCAACACTTCATGCAACCTTATGATCTCCGGGATATATATTGACAGACAAATGCAATCAACCACAAGGAATAAAATGAACACTAGAGAAAAAAAAAATTCTGAGATATTTATTCATTACATGTACCCATACATATGATTTTCTTAACAATACTACCTTAATTCAAGATAGAGATATATTTTATGTGTGTGCATACATTTACTCATTCAAGGGTTGCCTAGTGAATACTCTCCTACTCTTCAGGATCACCTTCGTGCATTTTAGATTTGGACACCTCTTTCTCCTTAGTTCCTTGAATCATAAGAACCTGTGCCGGTGTTGGCGGTGGCGCGTTCAGTCCACAAAATGGTGGCCAATCCCGCACACTGGATACCCTCATTGGTTTATACTTGAGGTTTCTGCCACTTTTAAAGGGTTCTCTTTTGTCTCTTCTCATCTCATAATTTTCTGGACTAATTAACTAACTTGGATTTCAGTTAGATGCTATTCTTTCTTTTATTTTCATAAATAGGATGATTTATAGAAGATTTACCTATAAAGTACAAGAGATAGGTGGGCTACCCTCACCACACAGTCGAAAAAGGCAAAAGAATAAAGACTAAAGAGATCATCCACTTCTAGTACAATTCAAAGAAAATGCCCTCATTCAATAGTAGCCTCTCTAGATAAGCCAGCAGCATCCAAAACTTCAAAACAAATGCCTTCGTTTAAAATTGGTAGAGAACCAAGAAGCCAACAACTCCAGATTCTGAAAACTGCTTATACCAGGCCATTTCCATCCAAGAAGCTGAGCAAACCATTCCCAAGTAGCAGCTGCAAACCCACAGCCCAGAAAAAGATGATCTCTATCGTCTCCATCTCTCAAACAGTTCAAACACACTGCAGGAAGCACAACCTTTCATCTGCAAACTAGAAAAGGAAGGAAGCTTGTTTTTCAAAGCCAAAATAGAAGTAACTAAAATTTATCCGGAAGGGTTGGGATGAATTTTCATAACATATTTGATTCAGGGTGAAGTCTGGGAGGTACATTTGTTTTTGGGTGGATGTTTGGTGTAGGGATAGACCACTTGCATGTGCTTTCCCAAGACTTCCGCATTGCCACTGATAAACAAATCTTAGTTGCCAACTGTTATCGGCTTGAGAGTAGAAGGATGACTTGGGATGCGCCTTTCTAGAGACATTCAGGAATGGGAGCTGGAGGACATTATCAATCTTTTGGGGTTACTAACATCAGAATATGGTCCGGGAGGGACGAGATGAGTGGTCTTGGATGGCTTCCAGTCATGTGAGATTTGAGGTGCGATCCTTTTATCGAAGGCTGTCAAATACTAGGGGGATCTTTTTGCCCGTGGAAGGTAATTTGGCACACTAAAACTCCTCCAAGGGTAGCCTTTTTCGGATGGATGGTAACTATGATGAGGATCCTAACGATTGATAACTTTAGGTGGAGGCATCAGATTATTGTCAATCAGTGTTACGTGTGCAAAAGGGATGAGGAGTCGGTCAACCATCTCCTTGCTTTTGTCTCTTTTTGGTGTTCATTGGGTAATGCTGCTTTCCACAAAGAACATGCTTGAGGCTTGGCGAGGGTACATAGTGGGAATCAAGCTCAAGATGCATGGCAGGATGTGCCCCTGTGTTTGTGGTGGGAAAGAAATAGGAGATCTTTTGATGGTGAGGAGGCTCCTATTTAGGTGCTTAAGTTCTCTATTTTTAGCTCTTTATTTTTTTGGGTCCATGGGAAAAATTGTACATTTGTGGAGGAATTTATTGAATTTGTGGATAGTTTGAGAGTTTGGTTGGTAGTTTTGGGTCTTGTGCAGTTGTTTATGGGACGTGCTCCTCTTTTTAGTGCTCGTTAATGAATATTACCTATAAAAAAAACATGCATTCACCAAGCCTTTTTTTTTTTTTTTTGGAATTCTTTCTGCTGAAGTCATTCCTGTTAAGAACTTTTGATATTAGAAAGCTCCCCTGTACCCTACCAGATTAATTTGGTAGATTGACCTTGTAAACCAACTAGCTTGCAAGGTAGTTGGGGGTCAACTAGTTTTGTTATTATGAATCAATGTGTCTATATATAGCTAGTAACCCATGCTCATGGTAAAATCACATGTTTGGTTCCAAGCCTGCTAACGAGTTTGAATACCATCTTCATTCCCTTCCCTGTCTCATTTGTGCTTACCTCTACTGTGATGTTGTGGCCCGCATTTTATTTTGGCCCGGGTTGCAACGACCTGAAAAATGCGCTTTGTGTGGCCCAAAACCGTTTGACCCTTTCTTTGCTTGCGAGTGCTGGACCCTGTTTAGAACTCTCTTATAGCCCGGTATGTAAGGGCATTTAGGGTTTAGAGTGGGATAATGAGAGAACACAAAATCTCAAGAAAGAGAGTGAGAGCGAGAGCTAGGGTTTGGGGGCCGAAACTTGTAATCTCTGAATATTTTTTAGTGTCGTAGGTCATCGGGTATCTTCTGCCACTCCTGAATGTCAGATGTAGGGTCGAAGTTTTCTTCATGATGCATTTGTGTGTAAGCTTGTGTGAGGTGAATTTCCCGAGCCTTCAATGAGGAGAGGTGAATAACCTACAAACCTTACTTGAATTACCTTAAACTAAAAGGAATGATGCAATATTTCACATGTAGATTACATTGCAAATTGTATATTTTTAACTCAATCTCATTATATTTCATCTTCCTATTTAAATTGATTGCTTTTTCCTACATCTTTTCTTTTGTTCATTTTTGGTTGTTGATCTTCTTTCTACTAAATTCGAATCTCAACCTTGGACAGTTTTTTGGGCTGGTTCCCAAGGCATCTTTACCTGAGTTGGAGGCGGCTGGCCAGCATTACTGTGAAGATGATTGGTATAAATTGAAAAACCAACATCCTGGCATTGATGATCTGGATTTATTGAGATATTGTTTCTCCTCTGCATACATTGTGGCATTGTTGCATGAGAATCTTGGTATCACCATGGTTGATAAGAGGTATGGTTGCTTTCTTTGCATCCAAGTACCGTACTCATCCTTTTTGTCTCTGATATGTGTTTAAACTTACTTTTCTCGGAAAGCCAGAATGGGTTGTTAACCTCTCTCATGAATGTGTCACAATGTTCTTACAGAATATTATGATGAATTAGCAAATTTTATCCTCAAAACAGTAAAGGGGAAAAAAAAAAAAAGTTAGCTACTTGCCATTTTATGCACTTTTTAACACTCTTTGAGAAGGTAGCCCTGACAAATGGAGTCTCAATATACTACATACATATTTGTATATATATTTAAGGCCTCTCTCTTTGTGCCTTGGCGTCCCTTAATAGCCTTTCTGCCCTGGAATGCTTTAGACGATAACCTTCTGGGGGAGAAGGATGGATTGTTAGTGTGAACGATTTCGAAATATAATTGGGGGACATGGATGGTTAGGTTCCATTTGTATACTTGGTGGAATCTGGCATATCTTAACCAAACCCTTCGCATGGGATTGACACGCACTTCAGCTGGGAGACGCTTACTTATCAGTTTTGGCGCTTCAGCTGTTTTTGGTTTCATTGGTTGTTGCTTTGTCTGGTTCAATAATACTGCTTATCCTAGTGAGTTTTTCGAACCCACTGGACCAGAAGCTTCTCAAGCTCAAGCATTGACTTTTCCAGTTGGAGACCAATGACTTGGGTCTGACGTGGGATCTGCTCAAGGACCTACTGGTTGAGGTAAATATTTACTGCGTTCCCCGACTGGATAAGTCATTTTTGATGGAGACACTATGCGTTTTTGGAATCTAGGCGCCCCCGGTTAGAACCTCTAAGGGGTCTAAATGGGTTGGACTTAAGTAGGCTGAAAAAAGATATACAACCTTGGCAACAAAGAATGCCTCGATAAGAATTTGAATGTTTGGTGCGGGCAAGATAAGTAAACAGGCTGTGGGCTCTGTTAAAAGTGAGTGCATAATGCTATCCCCTCTTTTTGCAACCTGCAGAGGAGGGGTATTACTTTTTCTTCGGTTTGTCACAACAGTGAGGACCCTGTTGACCATATGTTTTGGAGCTGTCCTTTAGCTAATTCCATTTGGTCCTCAATCAGTTTGCTTTTAAAGAGTGTGAACTGGTTTATCAACTATTATTCCTCTTCTCACATGAAGTTGAAACTGTCTAGGGTTTTCTTCACTGCTGTTCTTTGGCACAAAGGAACTTAAGATTACATGATGATCAAAGAAGAGATCCTAACAGCATTGCTGCACAGCTTGTTTGGAGGTTTTGCAGTACATGAGGTTTTAGCTGAGTTTTGATTCTGGTCTTGGGCTGAGCTTGTCTAATAGCCAGCCTTTGTTTCCTTATGTGAGAGTTTTAATCTCACAGTTTCCACTTGTACTTTGTTGTACATAATGGTTTGATCATGTGTGTTGGGAGAATATTATTATAGGAACCTTAAATTACTCCACAGAATATTGCTCTGGGAATATTGTTGGAGTGATTTTAGTCTATGATAAAATATGATTGGAGTGATTTATGGGATTGATTTTATGAATCCTCCATTAATGTATTTTCCATATTTATCGCTTTGTTCTTTCACCTATAAATAGAGGTGCTCATTGTAAACAATCTTAAGAGAGAATATAATAAAGATGATGTAGCCCTTTGGGCTTTGTGCGTGTATCCTTGTGTGATTCATTTTCTATTTCTCTCTTCAATTTTGACATGGTATTAGAGCAGGTTTATCATATCATACTCTATACTCTACTTGTCTTGGATCTACGGATCAACTCGTCTCAGATTTATGGATCAACTCGTCTCGGATCTTTGCAACTCGTTTCGGACTCTCAACAACTTCGTACTTAGTTTCAAGTTGGACACTTGAGTTAAAATCTCCGTGTACCACTACCAACTTGAGGGAGGGTGTTGGAGAATATTATTATAGGAACCTTAAATTACTCCACAGAATATTGCTCTGGGAATATTGTGGGAGTGATTTTAGTCTATGATAAAATATGATTGGAGTGATTTATGGGATTGATTTTATGAATCCTCCATTAATGTATTTTCCATATTTATCGCTTTGTTCTTTCACCTATAAATAGAGGTGCTCATTGTAAACAATACTAGAAATATAATATAGAAGGAAAAGGAGAGAATTGTGTAAAGGCTTGAATGAGATCTATAATATGTAAAGGCTTGAATGATATATATCACTCATTCATAGCTCTAGTATTTATAGATTGTTAGAACATTTACATGTAGATATATATTTATGTTGGGGTCAGATTGTAATTGTATATAGAGTTTGTGGCTATTATGCAAATAGGCCTTTCTTGTCTTTGTATATAAACCCTTTTATGTTTTGAGTTGATGTAATAAGAAGAAAGGGGTTGCGCCTCCAATTTGAGTCCTCTCCATCTGCTCTCTCTCTCCCATGTAAACTTTCACATGGTATCAAAGCTTCAATCTGAAGCTGTTTCCGTCGCAAATTGTGTAGTCGACGAAGGTGTGTGAAGCTTCGAGGGACCTTCGATCTGTGGTCGGCGGTTAACTCTCTGTTGCAGTCGGCAGTTGTTGATTGGTTGTGCAGTCTCCATTTGCGACTGATTTTGTTGCCGGCTTCTTCATTTGAAATCGAGTGTGGTTCTTTGCTGTAGCTGAGGGATTTGCAGAGGCTTCACCGTATTTGTGGTTGGGGCTTCGCCTTGTGGAAGTCTCAATTCTCCATTCTTGACCTCAGATCCTTTTGTGTTTGTTGTCGGCAACAGATTGTAGTCCTCGTTGGCGTGTGTTTGGCTACGGATGTGAAGCTATCCCAACCTTGGTTTACTAAATTCAGGTTTGCAGAGATCCGGTTCTGGTTCAACCCGGTTCTGCCAAATCATTTACTGGACTCGGCTCATTTCTGAGACCCGACCTATTTCTGAGATCCAACCCGAATCTAAGATCCGAAATCAGTCCAGTTTTCTGTCTTGCGTTCTCGGTCATTCTTCACATCAGGTTTTGAGTTCCTTTTATATATATATATATATATATATATATATATTCTTTCTTTCTCCTTTTCACTTGTTTAATTGCTGTTCAATTCTTTGTTTCCCTCTCCTCTATCGTCTCCTGGTCTGTTAGCCTTCTCGGGAGTTTGTTTTATTTATTTTTATTTGGGAACACATATTTTTTTTTTTTTTTTTTTTTTCATTAGTTAAAAAAAAAACTCTAATGTCAAAATCTTCTAGTGTTGATAGTGTCACACTATCCAGAGCCGAGTTTAATTCATTAGTTAACTCGGCACAAGCCAGAACTATTGACGGTGTTGTTACCTTCGCCCAATCAGGTAACATTGCGTGTTTTTCACATTTACAATCTTCATCTTCTCCTTGGATTCTTGACTTTGGTGCATCTACCCATCTGACGGGTAATGAATCCTTATTTTTTTATTTTCATAAGGTTACTTCTCCTACTTTTGTTACTCTCGCTGATGGTGGGACTCGTCCCATTACTGGACAGGGTACCATTCGCCTCACTTCTTCCATTTTGTTATCTACTGTGCAATTGGAACCTGAGTTTCCTTTCAATTTATTATCAATGAGCAAGCTCACTCAGGCACTCAACTGTTCTGTAACCTTTTATCCCTCATTTTGTCCTTCAGGATCTCAAAACGAAGTTGACAATTGGTGGTAGCCTTGTGAAAAATGGTTTATATTACTTGGATTGTGAGTCACCTACTAGTGGTACTTCTCTCCATTCACGGGTCTCTGCCAATGCCCAACAGCGGCAGTATCGGTTGGGTCATCCATCCTTAAGGTACTTGAAGTCTGCCATTCCTTCTATTGGGTCAGTGTCAACTTTAGAATGTGAGTTGTGTCAATTAGGCAAGCACCGTAGAGTCTCGTTTCCTCCCCGAATTGATAATCGCCGGTCTTCTTTATTTGAATTGGTACATACTGACATTTGGGGTCCTGTGCGTCATGTGAGTAATTCAGGTTTTTCATATTTTGTTACCTTTGTTGATGACTATTCAAGGATGACTTGGATGTTTTTAATGAAAGACTGATTTGAACTTTTTCCATATTTCAATTATTTCTTAAAGAAACTGAGGTCCAGTTTGGCTGTGTTATAAAAAATTTACAATCTGATAATGCTATGGAATACGTCAAAGGTGCTATTTCTACATTTTGCGACTCTTGTGGTATTTTGCACCAAACTTCTTGTTCTTATACTCCAACAAAATGGCGTAGCATAACAGAAAAATAGGCATTTGATTGAAATAGCTCGGACTTTAATGATCCATATGCATCTTCCAAAGCCATTTTGGGGTGATGCTGTTTTAACTGCTTGCTATTTAATTAATTGTATGCCATCTTCCGTTCTTAACTGAAAATGCCTTTATTCTTTTGCATTTTCGTAATCGACCGTTATTTGCATTTACTCCTCGTGTTTTTGGGTGTGTGTACTTTGCTTACATATTACGTCCTGGCACTAATAAATTGTCTCCTCGTGCCATTAAGTGTGTTTTTATTGGGTACTCTCGGACTCAAAAAGGTTATAAATGTTGGGATCCTAACACTTGTCGTGCTTTTGTGTGTATGGATGTTACCTTTTTTTAGGACACTCCTTACTTCTCTGCCGTGGTTCATCTTTAAATATTGATTTGTTTCTTCCACTACCGATTGTGTCTACTTCATTAGAGTCTGTCACACCACGACCACTACAAGTGTATAGTCGACGATCACAGGCAACCTTGCCCTAATTGTCTACTTCTATTGAGGTTCCTTCTCCTGCTAATAATCTTCCTATTGCCCTGCGTAAAGGTATTCGTTCTTGTGTTACTGCACATCCCATTTCTAATTTGTCTCATATAATCATGTTTCACCCTCTTTATCCTGTTTTTTATCCACATTATTTGCTATTGTTATTCTTAAGACTTTGCAGGATGCCCTTTCTAATTCCGATTGGCGCAAAGCAATGGTTGATGAAATGGATGCTCTTCATCGTAATGGGACATGGGATCTTGTTCCCTTACCTCTTGGTTCCAAACCAGTTGGTTGTAAGTGGGTCTGCAATGTCAAATACCTTCATGATGGGTCTATTAAGCGTTTGAAGGCTCGTCTTGTCGCAAAGGGGTACACCCAGACTTATGGTGTTGATTATGATGAGACTTTTTCCCCTGTTGCAAAGATTTCTTCTATACGGGTCCTTATTTCCATTGCTACCAATCGTAACTGGTCGTTGTTTCAATTAGATGTGAAAATTACCTTCTTACATGGCGACTTAGTTGAAGAAGTTTATTACTCAGGGGGAGTATCATCATACCGTTTGTCGCCTTACGAAGGCCCTGTATGGATTGAAGCAATCTCCAAGGGCTTGGTTTGGAAAGTTCTCTGGGGCAACATTAGCATTTGGTCTTAAAAGATGTCAGAAAAACCATTCGGTGTATCACCAGCACACTAAAGCTGGTTTGATTTTCCTTGTGGTGTATGTAGATGACATTATGATCACAGGTGATGATTCTGAAGGTATTATTAAATTGAAGTTGTTTCTACAAAATCAGTTCCACACTAAAGACTTGGGTCAACTCAGATATTTCTTGGGTATTGAAGTTACTAGATCTAAGGAAGGTATAAGTTTATCTCAAAGAAAATATGTGTTGGATTTATTAGAAGAAACAAGTATGTTGGGTGGTCGTCCAGTTAATGGTCCTATGGATCCAAACACAAAACTCTTGTCAGATGAGGGTGATCTATTTAATGATCCTAGCAGATATCAACGTCTTGTTGGGAAATTAATTTATCTCACTATCACTCGACCGGATATCTCATATGCAGTTAGTGCCGTAAGTCAGTTCATGGGATCTCCTAGGATGGCACATTGGAATGCAGTTCTTCAAATTATCCAATACCTCAAGCAAGCTCCAGGTTTTGGGTTGCTATATAAACCAAATGGACATCTTAGGGTGGAAGGTTTAACAGATGCTGACTGGGCTGGTTCTCCCTCAGATAGGAGATCTACTACAAGCTACTGCACATTTGTTAGTGAAAATCTTGTTACATGGAAAAGTAAAAAGCAAACAGTGTTAGCACGGTCTAGCGCTGAAGCAGAGTACAAGGCGATGGCCTATACCTCTAGTGAGTTATCGTGGATACAACATTTTCTTGAGGAACTTAGGTTAATAGTCAAGACTCCTATTCCATTGTTCTTTGATAACCAAGCAGCTGTTCACATTGCATCCAATCCGGTATTTCATGAAAGAACCAAGCATATTGAAGTTGATTGCCACTTCATTCGAGAGAAAATATTGAGTGGGAACATTTTTACTCCATTTGCGAAGTCTGAAGATCAATTAGTTGATATGTTTACTAAGGCTCTTGGTCATAATCGATTAAAGGCGATATGTTCCAAGCTGGGATTATATGATATATATTCTCCAGCTTGAGGGGGAGTGTTAGAACATTTACATGTAGATATATATTTATGTTGGGGTCAGATTGTAATTGTATATAGAGTTTGTGGCCATTATGCAAATAGGCTTTTCTTGTCTTTGTATATAAACCCTTTTATGTTTTGGGTTGATGTAATAAGAAGAAAGGGGTTGTGCCTCCAATTTGAGTTCTCTCCATCTACTCTCTCTCTCCCATGTAAACTTTCACATAAAATAAGAGCACATGCTCATATTACAAGAAAAGAAACTAAATCAAATCTAAATCAAATCTCTGCTAATATGGTAAGTCATTCCATAAATCATAGCTATCATATATGCTAACACCCCCCCTCAAGTTGGTGCGTGGATATCTGAAACGCCCAACTTGGACAACGCATTTTCAAACACGGTCTTGTTAGCACCCTTCTTCAGAATCTACAAGTTGCAGAGTGCAAATCTGACTAGATTAAAAATGTCGACCAACAAACCAAAATTGTCTGCTCAGACCATAAACAATTAATAATTTCTCCTCAGACCGTAAATAACCAATCACGTCTCCTCAAACCGTAAACAACAAACAATGTCTCCTCAGACCGTAAACAACCAACAATGTCTCCTCAGACCATTCCCCTTCACATGTTTAAAACTTGTAGATGGAAGAATCAACAATGTCTCCTCAGACCATTCACTTTCATACATATGTTTAAACAATATAGATGAAAGAATCAATAATGTCTCCTTATACCATAAAAAAGAAACAACTATGTCTCCTCGGACCATTTTTGAATAGGTGGTGCCAAACTCGCAACGCCCTTATTGAGGTCGAAACATCCTGTCTACCCGACACCTCCCGACTAGGTGATGTCAACTTCGACCATTCCTGAATGGGTGGTGCCGAACTCGCAATGCCCTCATTGCAGTCGGACCACCTTGGCTCTGATACTAAGTAGAAATACAATATAGAAGGAAAATGAGAGAATTGTGTAAAGGCTTGAATGAGATTTATAATATGTAAAGGCTTGAATGATATATAGCACTCATTCACAGCTCTAGTATAGCTCTAGTATTTATAGATAAAATAAGAGTACATGCTCATATTACAAGAAAATAAACTAAATCAAATCTCTGCTAATATGGTAAGTCATTCCGTAAATCATGGCTATCATATATGCTAACATATGCATAATCAAATCAATGCTAATATGGTTAGTCATTCCATAAATCGTGGCTATCATATATGCTAACAACAATCTTAAGAGAGAATATAATAAAGATGATGTAGCCCTTTGGGCTTTGTGCGTGTATCCTTGTGTGCTTCATTTTCTATTTCTCTCTTCAATTTTGACAGTGTGTAAGATAAGCCAATTTTTGTGCCAGTATGAAGGAGTGGATTGATCTAAGGCATATGTGCTAAAATTACAAGAGGAGGGCCAAAAAGAATTTGAGTTGAGGCTATGATAAGAGGGACGGACACTGGGGCCTTGAATTTGACCAACGATATGGCTTTCCTTAAAGTTGACTTGAAAAGATGGGTCCTTGCAGCCCCTACCTCACTTGGCAATTGATTGAGGCTCTATAAATCTGAGTCGAATGTTCTTTTGTTTTCAAATTCACCGACTAATCACTAATTTCATGGAATACTCAGAACTTGTTTCATATTAGATTTATTGAATAATAAATTTCTCAGTTCGTTTCACTATAAAAATTGTTTTTAGTAGTTTTTATACAATTTCCTTCACAAAAGCGGATGTCGGATACATCTTTAATAGCACCCAATCTTTATGAATAATAATAAAGGAAGATAAAAGAAGAGACCAACAGGCCAGTGGCCTAGCGGTATCAGCCTCTTACTTCCCAAAGGGAGGTCAGGGGTTTAAGTCTCGAAAGAGACAAGTGTGTGTGAGTACTAACTAGGAAAAAAAAAAAAAAAAAGAGCTTGATAATCAAGTGTGATGGTCCAAAAATCTATTGGTGAAATGGTCTTTGTATTCCAATATGGATTAGGTCCAAGTACTTGTCAATATGTAGTTTTTCATAGTAAAATAATTTAAAGAAATAATGGAATGTGATTGTTTAAAAGCAAAAGAATTTATATGTGTGTGTGTGTGTATGTGTGTGTGTGTATAAAAGAGCATTGTTAGGTATGTGAGTCATGTGATGGCAATTTCCTACTCAACTTGTGTTGTAATTTGTCATACTGTTTTGCGTAGTTCGAATACATCCGTTGAGTTTTCAAGACACAAACAACATGATATGATATCTGCATATTTAATCACGTATATAGGGCATAAGTAAAACGTTGGAAAGACGTAAATTGACTTAGTTTGATCTTAGGGAGGCTCACAAATTTCTTTTAAATATGTTCTTGAAAAATGTATTTTCAAAGTTTAAGTTTTAAATATTTTTGAACTGAGTAGTGGGTTGCATCGATTGGAGTGCTTTTACTACCCTCCAGGGGTTGAGTTAAATTCCTCAACAAGTAGATAGATTATGACTAGAAACCGAAATGTAAGGAAGATTGGTGTAGAAGTTGATACCTGGATGAGATTGTTGGGAAGAAGATTGCCGTAGAAGTTCATAGATTACTACTCTGTTTTAATACTCTTCAATTGTGGTCTTACCAGAAAATTGGTGTATGCAGGATTGGATTTGGCAATCAGGGTGGAAGCACTCCCCTTGACTGGACTTTTGGAGCTTTCATCCTCCAAACGATCCAGGAGCCCCTAGAATTTGAAACCGATAACCTGGGTGAGATTGTTGGAAGCAATGCAGTCACTTACTTCTCTTTGTTTGCTGTACTTTTAACTGCTGTGCTTGGTTCATTCTTTGTATTAAAATGTCAAAAACCACAATTGAAGACCATATATGACCTCGAGAAGGGGCACTATATTGTTACCCGTGTGCCCAGGTAACTGTATCTTTGCTTTCTTTCCTTTTTTTCTTTGGCTTTATAGTTCATATCTCCTTTCTCTTGCAGTATGTAAATTTTTAGCTATCTCCAGATTTATCTGATAAAATTAGAGAGACAAATATAGATATATATATGTGAGAGAGAGAGGTAACCAGCTGTTGGTTAAACTAGATTTAAGATGTGCAAACCAGAAAAGGAATGAACAGAAGGGCATCCCAAATTGTGTTGGTCAAAATTTTGTTTAACTTTTGTGAGGATACCAACATGAGAAATTATAAACATTGATTTACTCTGTGTGTGTTAACATGTCCGAGTGTGCAAAGTTGTGATTGAATTGTGAAATCTAATCGTGGGAGTTGTATTTGATTATTATTCCGCAAATGAACCTTCACCCATCATAAGAGGGCTTTTCTTGGATGTTTAATTCCATTTAAGTTGGAACTGTATACTCAATTGAACCTTTGAAACCAGATTGTTCAATGCAAGAATTGGCAATATAGCTCCTTCTTCACAGATTTGCTCATCCTTTTACCTGGAAGTTATTAGTTTCTTTCACTATTACACAGATTGGGTGGTGGTATTTTAGTTGTATTAATATTGTTCTGGCTTTAAACTGATCAACAAATCGACCCATGATGCATCCAAATCCTCTTTTCCACAATACACAATTGGGAATTATTTACATTTTAAAGTATTATAATTCGCATTAGTAACATCGTGTGAAGATTGCCGAACAGACTCATCTTGTACAAGTCTATTTTTTATTATATTTCGTGGGGAGGGAAATGAGCATGGATTGACAAAGTTTTCAAGTGATATTTTCCTTGGTCTTTCGCTTACTTCTGTGGAGACTTGACCAAGCAAAGATATATAAGGTTCTATTTGTTTCACCGTAAAATATTTTTCGTTCATTTTTTAGTATTTGGGAGATCATTAGGAAATTATTTTTCATGTAAATCATTTTTTATCTCCAAATGATTGAAAATGATATATCAAAAATGTTTTTGTAAGTCATTTTTCACTGGCTATCTTAGGCCATCTAACCATATGTATTTTTATTTAACCCTATATCCCTCGAACAATTAATCTTTTTCAATCTTCTCAATCTAAAAATATAATCATCAATATTCTCTCTATTTGTGTACATAGAGTGAGAGGAAAGGGAGAGAGGGACACAAATTTGGGTTGTTCAAGGAACATATTTGGGTCTAAGCATGTTTTGGTATAGAGTGAGTAATGACAAGGAGGGAGGGAAGGCTTAGCGGGATGGCAATTTACCTTGTGAAGACAAGTACCTGCCCCGTTTATAGCTATTTGGGAGGACCATTTATCTTATTTGGGCGGAGAGAATTTTTATTATTAAAAATTCACATGAGTTCAGGTCGAAGACAGGGGAGGTCACCCCACCTCGTCTCGTTTAGGTAGGTAAATGACTAAATTACCCTTATTTTCTTAGTATATCTAGTTAACTCTAGAAACCTGAAGTCACATTCATTCGCTTTCTCAACTATTCTAGTGAATGGTAGAGCCTACGAATTAAGAACGCTCATACTCCTGAATTTTATGTTAAATTATTGATCGCTCATTTTTTATGATATTTTTCAATAGTTATATAATTGTATTTAAGGAAAAAAAATTTAAAAAGAAGGGGAAATTTTGAAACTAAACAGGACGGGGTAGGTGCTCGTGTAGGTAAAAAAGTTAAACGGGGCAGGGATGGGGTGGAAATATCTCCCGTTTAGGCGGTTTTGTGTGGCGACGGGGCGGGGGTTCCTAAACGGTTGTGAGGGTGGAGTAGGGTACACCTGCCCAAAACCGTTCCCGTTGCCATTCCTAAACCAGATAGTGCAAAGAGAAAGTAGCAAGAATGAGAGGGAGTGATGGTTTAGCGTAAAGAGAGACAGAGGGTGATGGTGTGGGGTAGGGTACACCTGTCCCAAACCGTTGTTATCCCTAAATCAGAGAGTGCAAAGAGAAAGTAGCAAGAATGAGAGGGAGTGATAGTTTAGTTCGTAAAGAGAGACAGAGGGTGATGGTTAGAAAGTAAGCTAGAACCAAGCCTCTTTTTTTCTTTTTTTTCTTTTCCTCTTTCCCCCGTACTATTTGAGGTCTAGGCCAACTCTCACTTGGTAATTGGTATACAGTTGGTTACTGTAACCTGTGATTCCGAAGTGATTATTTTAATGTTGGGCCTTATGGCCCAATAAGATCACAGGGTTGTAATGCAATTTAGCCCAACCTAACAATCTTTAATTTTGGCCCATCTGAGCCCAATAATATCACGTATCTAAGTACTACTAGTAGATAACTAGATGTTGAATCATACCCTCCTCTTCGGCCCCAATTCTCTCTCTCCTTCCTCTCTCTTCGAGCAAAATTTCTCTGTTTTTCTCGGGGAAATCCAAACCACAAGAGCTACTGTTTCAACCAAAAGATCGTGTGTTCGTGATCTATGAGGTACCTTTAAAAATCAGTCTCTCACTCTAACTCTAATTCAATTCTTTTTCTTTGCTTTCCTCTCTCTGTTCTAACCTAGTTTTCCTTTTTTTTCTTTTTTCTTGGGCATTCATAGGATCACAATTAGTCGAATAACCATCAAAAAAAAAAAAAAATTTCTCTTATTGTGATTTTCATTCACCTTCTATCCATTTCTGATTTATTTTAATTTACTCTTATTGTTTCTGTATTTCAAAGTTTGACTTTTAGGGTTTGCTTTTTTGTTCTTTTTAGGGTTTGCTTGAATTTCTTCACTAAGTCGTCTTCTGTTTCAAATTCAAGATCTATTAGGGTTTTATTTATTTTTTGAATTTTGGGAAGAAAAAAAGGATCTTCAGTTTTACCCTCTTAATTTTAGGTTTAGGAATATTTTTTTATGGCATTTGAATGCCAGACAACTAGTTTATCAAAGAATTCAGTATCAAATTTACTAGATAATACTTGCAAAGAACAATTTGAATTTAATCCGATTAATTCTGATAGCTCAGAAATTTTAACAATTGTTTCTGAAATTGACATTGAGGAGTCTGAAAAACCAAAACCAAAACCCATATCAGGACTCATTCCCAAGAGGGGATTTGCATCCTCTTGTAGTGGGAAAGTTTTGCCGGCTAACAATGTCTTGTCTACTTATGTTCTGTCCATCATTGACCTTCCTCCAACATTGATATCTGAAATCCTTAATTGCCTCGAGCCGAAAGAGCTCGGTGTGGTCTCCTGTGTCTCTTCATCTCTCTATAGGCTCGCATCCGAACATCATGTTTGGAAGGAATTTTATTGTGAGAGATGGGGACTGCCCATAGTCCCAATTCCTCTAGGTTCAGGATCTTCAAATGAGAGGTCATGGAAGGAGCTCTTTGTGGAGAGGGAGTTTCGGAGCAAAACCTTTATGGGACGATATACCATGGATGCCCTGTATGGTCATAGTGATGCCGTTCGATCGGTTTTTCTTCTTTCTTCTAAGAAGATTATATTTACTTCCGGGTATGATTCAACGGTTAGGATGTGGGACATGGAAGAAGGGTTGCTAATTGCATCGTCCCGTCCCCTTGGTTGCACCATCCGAGCAGTTGTGGCAGATATGAAACTCTTGGTTGTAGGGGGTACTGATGGCTTCATACATGGTTGGAGAGCAGAGGAAGGGTTCCCATATTTGTTTAATCTTAGAGGTCCTCAAAACCAAAACAATGAGTTTCGACTTTGGGAACATGAAGGGGCCATTACTTCTCTTGCTTTGGATCTGACTAGAATTTATAGTGGTTCGTGGGACATGACTATTCGTGTTTGGGACCGTTCTTTGTTGAAGTGCTTGAAGGTGTTGAGGCACAGTGACTGGGTCTGGAGCCTCGTTCCTCATGATACTACAGTGGCAAGCGCAGCAGGCTCAGATGTATATATTTGGGACACTAATACTGGAACTCAGATTGATGTTATAGATAATGCCCATGTTGGCAACATTTATTCTTTGGCACGGAGCCACACTGGGAATTTCCTCTTTACAGGAGGAGAAGATGGGGGAATACAGATGTTTGAGATGAGTAGTCGTCACGCTGAGAGTAATCTGCAGCAGGTTGCAACATGGATTCCTCACTCGGGTCCTGTGTATTCTCTTGCATTTGAGTTTCCTTGGCTTGTTTCAGCTTCCAGTGATGGAAGACTCTCGCTCATTGACGTGAGAAAGCTGTTGAAGATACGCAGGCATTCTTCAATGGAGAAGTCTGCAGGGTCTAACTGCCTATATGAGCGAAGTGTGGAGCCCCCGCAGAGAATGCTGCATGGGTTTGGCTGCAATTTATTCTCGGTGGACATTGGTGCTGATCGTATTATATGTGGAGGTGAAGAAGGTGTTGTTAGGATCTGGAACTTCTCACAAGCTTTGGAGATTGAGCGTAGAAGCAGTGCTCTAAAATGCATACGGTTAGAGAACAGGATGAGGCGGCGTAAGCTTCAAATGCAGATGAACAATAAGGGTGGCCGGACAGATCATTGTTCATTTGCAGCAAAAAAGAACCCAATAAATGGTGATAGGAATGGTGTTTGGCACAACAAACGAGCGGTGAGTGGGAAGATGAAGGCATAGAAGCAGATGACAGCCCGAGTCTATTTCTTGGTGCTATTCCACTTAATACTCTTTGCTTAATGTTTTAATGCCACACATTTTACTGTTTAGAGTATTTATTAGTTTATGTAGTTCTTCATGTAGTTTATGTAGTTCTTCATTTACATGAATGCCTGGGTTTCAATTGTGGTTATTAATTAAGTCGCCATTCTTTGGGGGTAATGGTAAATATTTGAACTGACAAAGTATGAGAATGCAGCTCTGCCTAAGAGAGCAAATCATTTTGCAGCAATTAGGCTATTTCTTTTTTTTATGTACGTGATGAAATACACATTTTATATTATAAATATATAATTTCTTTGTACTTAAAATTTTTGTATTTCTTTATATTTAAAACTTGGATCTAATTGTTAGAAGGATAGAATAAACAACTCTTTTATATTTAAAATTTAAAAATATTACTTTATACAACTTATTGGTATTTTAACTTAAAATATTATTTATAACTCTTGAAATAGTCTTATTTGTATTTCAAATATAAAGTATATTTATAACACTTGACTATACAATTTCTTTGTATTTTAAACTTAAAATAGTGTTTATAAACCTTGACTAATAACTTCTTTGTGTTTAAAATTTTAAATATTATTTATAACTCTTGAAATGGTGGAATATGCAACTTGTTTGTATTTAAAATTTTAAAATATTATTTTACAATTATTGGAATCGTGAAATATACAACTTTTATGTATTTAGAACTTAAATTATTATTTATAACTTTTTAAAAGGTAAATTTGATAATTCATTTATATTTAAAATTTAAAATATTATTTGTTAATTTTTTAAAATATATATATATAAAAAAGTAAAAATAATATAAACTCGCAATAGTATGGAAGTATTTGATAAAATTTATTATAAAAGTATACAAACATTCAATAATTCTTTCACTTTTATAGTAAGTATAGATTTATAGTAAGTAAATATATAGATTTATAGTAAATACTATAATTGATATTTAATAAAGAAAATTTGAGTAAAAATGTATAGAAATGAAATTAAAAAAAAAAATGGTAATTTTCTATCCCACATAAACAATCAAATAATTATCTCATTTAGTTGTTAATAACTATAAATAAAAATGGTTACAACAATGCTCCCTCTTTAAATTTCTTATTAAATACTCTTTTAAAGTTTCATATTTCTAGCCACAACTTCAAACATTATCTATCAATCTCCACAACAATCCATCAAAATGAAACAGTAATTTTTATCGCTCTCTCTATATATATACATATATATATATATCGAAAAAAAAAATCTAGCACAAAATAATGAAAGAGTGGGAATGTCCAAAATATATAATATAAGGGAGTATATTTGATTAAAGTGCCAAGAAAGAGAGATACATTTAACTCTAGGGAAATTCCAAGAGTTATAACATTTAACTATTCAACTTTTAACTTAAACATTTAAAAGGTATTAACATATTTGTTCGGGAGTACTTAGCCTCTAAATAAAATAAAAAATAATACAATTTAAAGGAACAAAATTTATTAAATTTATACAAGAAACCAGTGGTATAGTTGCAACATTCAAAACGAAAAAGAAAAAAAAAAAAAAACAAAAATAATTGTTCTATATGAAATTTTCTATTAACAAAATTAATTCTGTTTAATTTTCTCTGACACCACCCAATTGTTCTTTTTGATGTTTTTGGAATTTCCACTTCTCTTATCTTTCAAAAAATTAAATATGTTAATTGTACTAATTTAATTCGAACATAGAACTGGGCACCACCCAATTGGTCTTTTTGATGTCTTTGGAACTTCTTTACCAAGTAATTTCCATTTAACTTACCGTTCAAAAAATAAAAATATGCCTTCAAAAAAAATTTCTACTTCTCAGGCCTTTTTTCCTTATACATGGCATGTTCATACAAAAGGAAATTAAAAAAAAAAAAAAAAAAAAATTTAACAAAACAAACCTTATAAAGCCTTGTTTCAATATTTTTCTATATTTTCCCCTCTCATCCTCCAAACAATCATCTGCAGTATAATTAAGTTTAATTAAATATTCTAACCAAAACAGTAACACATAACAAAATGATCAATCTCCATGACAATTCATCAAAATGAAATAGTGATTTTTAATCCATGAAAAAAAAAAATTTTAAAAAAATATCTACACCAATATAATAATAATAATAATCTAACAAATACTAATAAAAAAGAGGGAATGCTCAAAATATATAATGTAGCAGAATATATTTGATTAAAGTGATAAGAAATAATACCTTCTTGAAAAAAAATTCACTTCTCAGGCCGTCTTTTCTTATGCATGACATGATCATACAAAAGGAAAATCAATAAAATAAAATAAAATCAGAGTTTAACAAAACAAACCTTTTAAAGCTTTGTTTCAATATTGTTCCTTTACTCTACTTTCCCCTCTTATCCTCCAAATAATTATCTGCAATGTAATTAAGTTTAATTCAATTTTCTGATCAAAACAAGAGCACGTTGTTATGAAACAAAATGATCAAAAAAATCTAACAAATACTAGTGAGAGAAAGGAAATGCCCAAAAAATATAATGCAACATAGTATATTTGATTAAAGTGATAAAAATAAAAAAAAATAAAAAAATAAAAAAAAAAAGAATACCTTCGGGAAAAAAAATTCAGTTCTCAGGCCTTCTTTCCTTATGCATGACATGATCATACAAAAAGAAAAAAATAATAATAATAATAAAAAAATAAGAGTTTAACAAAACAAACCTTCTGAAAAATTACTTCAATATTTTTTTTCTACTCTATTTTTCCCTCTTATCCTCTAAACAATTATCTACAGCGTAATTAAGCTTAATTCAATATTCTGACCAAAACAATAACACATAACAGAATGATCAATATCCATTCAAATTCATCAAAATGAAATAGTCATTTTTAATCCATGAAAAAAAAAATCTAATAAATATTATTGAAAGAGAGGAAATGCCCAAAATATATAATGTAGCATAGTATATTATATGTAACTCTTGGGCAATTTAAAAAGTTGTAACGATTGACTATTTAACTCCTAGCTTTTTTAATACACTTATAATGTTGAGTATACATTTTTTTCATTATAATAGTATGTAGATATATATAGAATAGATGATATAAACTAAAATTAATCTTTAATTATACTTTTATTAGGGCACGTTAATGTAAATGAGCTATAAATCATTAGGTATAGTCAATGAGATATTTTACGAAAGGAAAAAAAAATAAGGAGCAAAGTTGGAAAAAAGTCAGAAATTTGCAATTCAGAGAAACTTCGATCGATCGAAGGGAATCCCGATTGATCGAAGTCGGCTACAATCGATCGAAATGAGGTGGTGTCAGCTCTCTTTGAGTAGACACCAAGTCAGAAATACAGGCTATGATTGGAGGAAATTCGCAGCTACACAAGTTAAGTGGAGTCTGGTGCTCTCGGAAATTAAACAGCTCATTGCCAGCAGCCATCTCGATCCATTGAAGATGTTCAATCGATCGAACTTAGCTTCGATCGTATATATGTCTTGAATATGCATTTTAACTAAAGAAATTCCTAAACTAATAAAATAGTGATTAACTAAAATAAATTACTATTAAAATAAATAAAAGATTGAACACATTTTTAGTTTTCTATTTAAGAAAGAGGAAGAGTCTTTCACTAATTAAATATACACTTATAGGTTTATATATGGGATATGTATATAGTTTGGAAACTGATACAATTAATTTAATTATTAACTAAAATAAATTGTTATTTAAAAGAGATAAAATAAAAGTTTAAACACATTATCAGTTTTGATACAATTAATTTAATAAGAGTCTTCCAAGAGGTGTGGATCTTTTATGGGTGGTAAATGAGTTTCAGTAATTATAAATACTACTGTTTACCAAATTTACTTGCTTTCTTTTATATATATATATATATATAGTAAGATTATAATATAGAATGATAATAATAAAAAATAAGATTATAACATAGTATAGAATGATAATAATAAAAAATAAGATTATAACATAGAATGATAATAATAAAAAATTGATATAAAATATATATATATATATATATATATATATATATATATATGTCGTGAATATGCATTTTAACATAAAATTTCCTAAAATAATAAAATAATGATTAACTAAAATAAATTGTTATTTAAAAGAGATAAATAACAGTTTAAACACATTATCAGTTTTCAATTCAAAGGAAGAGGAAAAGTTTTTCAATAATTAAATATGCATGTATATATTTATATGTGGAACGTGCTATAATTTTTTGGAATTAATGTTCATGTACGGTATGAATTATTATAGATTAATGAACTTTTTTATGTGAAAAAATAAAAAATCAAAAGTGTTGAGAAATTCCTTACACGATAGTATTGATTTTTTTTTTTTTATATCAATTTTTTTTTTTTTTTTTATCATTCTATGTTATAATCTTACTATATATATATAGATATAATATGCATTTTAACAGAAAATTTCATAAAATAATGATTAACTAAAATAAATTGCTATTTAAAAGAGATAAATAAAAGTTTAAACACATTATCAGTTTTCTATTCAAGGAAGAGAAAAAGTTTTTCACTAATTAAATATGCATGTATTTATTTATATGTGGGACGTGCTATATTTTTTTGGAATTAATGTTCATGTGCGGTGTTGAGGTTGAAATTTGTAACAACCTACTCCACCACATGATATGATATTGTCCACTTTGGGCCTGAGCCCGCACGGTTTTACTTTTGGGCTTTACCCCAAAAGGCCTCACACCAATTGAAGATGATGCACTTACATATAAGCACTTCACCTTTCCTTTACCCAGGCGATGTGGGACTTGTGCACCCGTAACTCGCCAGTGCGGTAACCTTGGCACACCCGCCCACAAGGTCATCACAATCCACCCCCCTTGGAGGCCCGACGTCCTCGTCGGCACACTTCCGGCTGGGTCAGGCTCTGATATCATTTGTAACGACCCTCACCCTGGCCAGACACAATATTGTCCGCTTTTAGCTCACCCAGACCAGAGACTTCTCAGGGGGTCACCCATCCTGGTACTACTCCAAGTTAAGCACGCTTAACTACAGAGTTCTGATGGGTTCACGGCCATCACGGCTTTAAAACGCGTTGTGTCATAGAAGGGTGTTGAAT